GGCCAACATAGTCACGCGCTCTTGTTATAGCTCGGTTTCACCTATGCGCAATACATACAGGGCCAAGTAAACAAACAAACAAAAAATGACGAATTGGCCTGTTTGTATTGAAATTATTGATTCGAGTGCCTCAATCGCATTGAGCAGCATTCAAGTAACTATGCCGGAAATACGGTATAGACACGCTGCTAATCTTGGTTGTCGCCCTTTCTAAGAAACGGACAGTTGTGAATGTAAACAAATAAATGACATTCAGTTTTAAACCCTCAAATTAAATTACAAAAACAAGATAAGCCCCGGAAAAATAAAAACGCATACATAAAAACATGTAGAATTGGATAAATACCGTCCAAGGCACAAGAATTTATTGTATGTGTTTTGTATGAATCTATTTTTTAAATAATCTTATGCTATAATAGCGTCAACGCACGTTTTCTTTCGTGTTATAACGTCTGCAGAGTCCCGAGGAACGGTTGGTGCCCGAATCCGGTAGGGTGAGAGCTCCAACCGTTCCGAGGGACTCTGCATACTTTAACCCTATAATATTGCCTTGAAATATTGCCTTTTAAAATTGGTAAAGACATAGTAAATCATTTTATTTGTATGATATTGAAACATGTCTAAAATGTAATATAGAATTCAATTTAGATTTATTTACAGTTTCACCAAAGAATTAAGGGCTTGAAATATAGAAAAGTCAGACAAAAATACAAAAACTTTAAATCTTATTTAATTTTAAACAAACAGGTGCATTTAGAAGCAAGAAATTGTATGGGATAGTGAATAAAACTTATTTAAGATAAAACAAATATTGGTTAAAATTCAAAATAAGTTTGTAAAATTATGTTTACTAACAATAACTTATCTGTTTTTTTTTTCAAAATTAAGATCTCTTAAAAGGTAAATATGTATCAAAATGTACAACAAAATAAAACCACTATGGCGAAGTTTTAATACAAACAAACTGATGTTACCCAAGAAAACTTTTGTCCAACAGTCATTGACTCATGAGATTCAGAACACACTGATTGTCAAAATATCAGCTAGAAAATATCAGCTTGATTTAGAGGAAAGACATTGCTCATACATGAAACAACAAAAACGAAACACCACTTATCTGATCTTATTAATGGAACTGCCAACATGTGCTTTGATTATATTTTCTTAACAGTAAATTTAACTTATATTAATTATTTATTTAATGTGAATCACAAAGATAAATATGCTCGTATTGTTCATGATAATTGTAATACATATACATTTGAATACATACTTCACGTCTGCAATGTAAAAAAGAAATATTTTATCAAACATTGTCATATCATTAATATCTTATACGTTTTATGTTAATTTTAGATGGAAAAGAAAAAGTATTTGACAGTAGGTTCCATTCTTAACATTTATCTATGTCAATATTATATTACCTAAGCTATGTAAATATGAATTATCTCTGCCAATTACATGTATTATCAATCTTATGAAAGTGTCAATATCAAAAAGAAAAATTCCTGTGACTGATGGAAGTTGTTACACTATTCAGTATATATCAATTGTTTTCTTTCATCCATGCAACCTGCTTGTTTAATGCGAGTCTTCGTGGTAAAACACCTCTAAATGTAAGCGGTCTGATAAAAAACATAGTATTTTCCTGTCAGGCAGTCACTATACATTTTTGAATGACCGCTGACGTCTATATATCATTTTATTATACTCTAAATGCATAAAAAAAGAAACGCATTTATATAAGTACAAGCAATATTTTGCATAAAATGGCTGCGAAGGAATTGTCAGCTCTGCACTGCATACCTTTAAACGAGCCGAATAATTGCTACGTAAAAGAATGCCTGATTAGATCTGCAAAGCTGTTGAAATTGTAGTGAAAGTGTTACCACACGAAAATTTCGTTACGTCTGTTTTAAACTGTGTCAGGACTGGTACGCTTAAGTCAATGTCGCATTGTGCCATGAATCCGATACCATGTGTCTTACAGTGCTAACACGCTCTTATCTACATTAATTAATTATTTATATCTCATTTATATCTCGATTAAACTATATATAAATTTTTTTAAGGGAAAATTTCCCGGGAATAAAAAAACCAAATTTTTAGCACAAACAATTTGTATTTTATTTGACTTTTAAGGGGATAAACGGTTGCTAAAAATTTAAACAAAAAAAAAGGGACACATAAATATATAAAAAACGGGTAATAAATTTAGAAGGCCCCAACTAATACGCATGAACAATTTCCAAAAAACATCTCAAAAAAAACAATATAAAACTTAAAAAGATATAAACATTTGGATTTTATCAAAACGAATTTGTTTCATAGTTTCTTAAAGTAAACAAATGGATAAACTGAAAAGAATACCTTGTGTTTTATGACAAAGTAATGTAACAGATTTCACAACGATGCGGTTTGTTTCCAAATGCAAAACAGTCCCCTTTTATGTAAAAACGTGTTTATGGATGATGTAATTTTAGCCTGGTTCCAAGATATAAAGTCTTCGTAAACTACACACAATACATGAAATCAGACAGTTGCACAGGCAATTATTTGTGCTCTCCATCTGAAAAACTTGTGTGTGTGTGTGTGTGTGTGTTGGTGTGTGTGTTGGTGTGTGTGTGCGTGCGTGCGTGCGTGCGTGCGTGCTTGCGTGTGTGTGTGTTTGTGTGTGTGTGTTTGTGACTTTTCTATGTACTTGTATTTTTATTTGCGATTTTGCAAAATAAAATTATGTCTTTTCGGATTAAAGCATGCGTCTTATTCAAAATGGAATGACTTGACTGCTTCACAGCCAAATAATAAATATATGAACTAAGTTCAATTCTACATATTCTACTTGATAGGTCTCCTTAATGAATATTAATCCTGTTTATTTATTTATTTATTTACTTCGTAATAAGATTAGATATATTGATGGTCAAAATTCATCATATTTTACCATAGAAATAAAATAGTCATCCAAAGCAGTGTGCAATTGCACATTAAGACATATTTTTAAGCTTGATATATTAGTACAAATATATATAATATGCTGATTAAATTCAATATTGTAATATAAATGTATATTTCATATTTTCCTAAGGAAGTAATTATGAATAAAGGGATTCAGATACGAATGACGTTAAATATAGTTATATATATATAATACATGTACGTTATTAACGCTCTTTAACTTCTATTATAAAAAGTTACGTACACTTCTCTTTACAATTTTACTTATTATTATACTTGTATTTGATAACTGAAATCAGAATATAGAATAGTTTTATTAATGATATCGTGACCTAAATTTTGTAAATTAAGTAGAAAGCATATCCGTATATATACAACCAGGTTGTTTAAGTACGTATATAAATACCGAGACAAGGAAGTATGATTTAAAGTTAATGTTATGTTTTAGAAGAAAAGATGGCGGAGCTAAGGATAAATACAATTTTTAGTTGTATATTGTCAGTTGGTAAGTTTTATGTATTGAAGTAATTTTAAGACATAATAATTTGGTTTCATAAGTTTTTACAAGTATTTATATTCGCATGAAATGTGAATGACATCATTTATATTGGATAAAGACATGCTGACATGTAAAAGAATCTATTTAAAAGTCAAAAAGGAATATAATATTTTTATTTTTTAATAAATCAATCGAATCGAATCATAAGATTTATATTATATCATTTATCCAGTATGTATTATAGTTCACGCACACTTACACGTTAATGTAAGGGTATTGGACGTTTTGAATTTTCTCTTTTAATCATATAATTTTCAGTGTTGTGTACAGCTCAAGATATACACCAACTGACAGTAACAGCTGGAGATAATGTTACTTTATCTTGTACATCTACAACAGACTATCCTACATGGTTTGGTCCAGAACTATATGATGGAAATGTACAACAATATAACAACCATGGTCAGAGTAGTTTCCCAAATCCAAAAGTTCCTGAACAGAAGAGGTTACGACTCGGTTGGGCCAATGATAAACGTAGTTTGATTATAAGTGATTTAATATTCAGTGACCGGGGACTCTATCAGTGTGTTACTGTTGCTAAAATAAATATGTCTGTAAGAGGTATGTTTCAGTGAATAAAAGTCATTATGTTATTGACTAGAAAGTATATTTTGATATATTTTTGATTTTTTTGTTCATTTTTATATTTAATGTTCTTTAAACGGCTATGTCTTAATTGGCAAATATGGCCAAAAGTTCATGTATTTCTCATGGTTTAAATTAAATCATAAATTATTCATAAATTATTCTACAGAGATGTTAGAGTCGATAAAAAGAGTATTCATTTTCAGTGAGGATAAAAGTTTTCATTGGATGCGGGATCGAGCCGTTCGGGGAGCCAAAATTTTTATCTTTTGTACTTTTTTATTTTTTTTTGTCCGGTCATAAATCGTATTGTTTTGAAAATATTTGAATTAAGATAAAGTCACAAATTTATATGTACTTTTTAGTGTTTTATATTAAAAAATAGAGCAGTTTTAAAGGATAAAACGTTATTATTTCCCAATCTTGGTGTTAAGCCTCCCTAATTTTTTGACATAATTGTCCAGAATTGTATCTAGATAATTATTTCGTTGCAAATATAAGGATGCCCCATTATCAAATAACAAATATGATCGGTTTGATCCCTCCCCGCTTTCATTTTTATCAAATCTGACGTATATCTGTTTCAATTAACCAACTTTTTTTTCTAAAATGCTTTACTTTGCTTTTGTTTCTTTTCCTTTTTTACCACCTCTTAAGTTAGATAAAGATGAAGTGAATTAAAATGTTCTTTAACTCATTAAAACATATTTGTTGTGGTTGTTGTTTTGTATATAACTGGTACAAGAACATCTTAAATTGCCAGTATTTTTCAAACAGTAATGTTTGGTTCTCTTTTATATTTCCGTTAAGAATAAGATAAAGCTCAATAAATTACAGTTTTTAATGACCTTGGAAACGCTGAAAATCATCATCAAATGCCTTAAGTAACACCATATGCCACAGTATTTAATATCATTTAATTAATATTCTACTTTAATTCTGAAATCATGATTATATATTCGTTTACATATTCAATTCGTAAAATTGTATGACAAAGGCTTTTTAACTGCACGAAGTTGGGGAAAAAATCTAAATGGAATATTTCTATTTTGTTTTGGTACATAACAATCATACGTTAGCAACACATTTCCACATCAGTGATTTATGATTAATTTCGTTTCAAGATACCTAAACTATGTCAGCATGTCAATTTCTAATTTTTTTAATTAAGTGCAATTATTTTCTATGTTCAAGTACCACCACAATCTCCGATGATATCAAACACAGAGATATCAGCAGGCGACACACTTATAATCAGAAAATCTGAGTCACAAGTAACAAGCCTTGTTTGTATATCGTCTGGTGGTTATCCTCAACCACTGGTTCAGTGGTACAGAGGAAACACCGGTACACAACCTATTACCTCCTCGTCAGCTGTATCCACAGGAAATAATTCTTATAATGTTACACAGACATACACGTTTACACCTCAGAGACAAGATGACGGAGTAAAATATATATGCCAGTCTTCATTCCGGACAGCACCGAGACATATATCAACATCTAGTGTAGAGCTTTTTCTTTATTGTGAGTAGATTGTTATAATATTGCTTTTAAAATGCTGTAAAACTGATTTTGTCTTCTAATGATTGTTTTACAGTTTTTATGTATTTATTTTTGGGGGACTTTAAAGATAAAGTTAAACGATTAAATGAATGCCAATTTACATTTCAATGATCAATGATGGATTTTTTTCATTTTACGGAAATTGTGTATGTTTGCTGGTATATGTTTGTACATATGATGCAATATTATGCATATAGATTATACATTGAGAAGAAAATAACATTATATTGATGCAATTTAATTTTATTTACTTAACGTAGAAAGCACGGCTCTATTTATGACGTTTTTCTTTCAAATGTTTGCATCATTACGCCATATATCATTTAAGTGAAACCAAATCCACCATCAGCTGTACAAACATTACCGGTCTCAGCCGGACAGCAGGTGACAATAAGGTGTACAACAACAGGAAGTAGACCTGCTGCCAGTATTATCTGGTCGTACAGGAATACAGAGCAAACTGGTGAACAGACGTCAACACTTGATGACATAACAAAAACGTTTACGGTGGCATCTTTGTTAAAGTTACAAGTTTCAGCTGAAGACAATGGCCAAACTGTCCAGTGTAAAGTTACTCATCACTTATTAATTAAACCGGCACAGCTGACTGCGTCCGTCGCCTTAAATGTAACATGTAAGTTATTAAACATTTATTACATTTATTGAACTGTTCGATGTAATCTGACTTAATAAGAGTTAATAAGTTAATAAAATCAATTATGATCAAGCTTGTACCTGACTTGAACTATCCACGAGTCCAGTCGGCTACCTTGACCTTACCAGTACTGATGTAAACTAGGGATCGGATACACCATTTCTGAATTTGCAGATATTTTATGTATATGACACAGCCTTCCTTTATTTAAGCATGGACCTCAAATGTTAGGTATTTTTATCATCATATATGTTCACTTAAAGGTTATATATAAGTTTAAGTATACAGTTTTATATTTTGTCATTATATAATAGTATAAAATAATTTATTACGTCTCGGATTTAAATATAATACGATGTACTATTGGAAGTGAAATATGTTGAAAATTAATTTTTATTTACAATCTATATAAAGAATGAAATAAATTCCCATTTTGAAAATTACTGGTGACTTGTAAATGCATTCTATTCCCATAGAAAATTAAATCAATGTGAAATGCTTTCAAAAATATTAGAGCTCTAAGAGGTACAAAGGAGTAATGAAACTATTCAATATTATCTGACATTTGAACGGATAATTTGCAAACATAAAGCTTGATATGTGTTATACATATAAACAAAATTCTATATGACAGTAGGCCAATAAAAAGGCATATTGCAGCACATGTACGCACGACGTTAACCACATTTAATGACTTCTCTGCACATGTTTGTATTTAATGTTCAAAAATGTTTGGACACTTAGGTGCACTTACTCCTTTTATTTGTTTATCATGTGTTTCCGAAGACAGCGACGTAGAAGTCCTTCTTTTATTTGATAGGTATTCGATCACGACAGTTTTTTTTTACATTTCACATTTACTAGTATCATCGAAATGCCATCAGCCTACTTACGTCCATTTTGCCTTTTTTTGTTGATGGCGATTTTGTAGACATCATTATATGGTTTAACATTTTTTGTTGATATTTTTATTTTGATTGCATTACACATAGTTTTAAATAATTTGGCTACAAATAGCGTTTTATTTTTATATTGAAATGATAATATTCATTGTATTAAATTGATACATTTCAGATCCACCAACTGTTTCTGTAAATGCAACAAACACAACAGTTAAAGAACCAAATGCCATCTTATCTTGCATTGCCAAAGGGAATCCAGACGGTAATTATAGATACGGCAAATGGATTCAAAGATGGCCAGGGTATGACGTGCCCGTGTTGGAAAGACCGGAAGTGAGACACTTGAATTAACAGCTTTAACATACGAGCACTCCGGTTTTTACACTTGTACAGCTAGTAATGGAATTAAGATATTTGGTACAAACACAGAACTTGTAGAGGGAACAGCAGTGCAGTTGCTAGTAAAATGTAAGATATAAAAAAACATGATGTGCACGTATCCTCAATCTGTACAACGTTTTATATATTATATGCTATGTTTATATGACTGTCTTATGTAATTAAATGGCATTATCTATATCTAAGAGCAAATGATGTTTTTGCATAATGACACTTATTTTTATGCAATTTGTGTCGATTACAGCATCCTTATGCTAGCTTAAATAATTTCAGTCACATGTCATTTTTACTGTCTAATCATTTCATTTTTTCATGAATGAAACATAATGCTAGAGGTGCACCGTTTTAAAATGCCGATAAAGCGTCAATCTCTTTATACTTTTTAAAGATACTGTCACGTTGTTTTGTTGGTATTTTTTTAAAATTTGAGTTATCATTTGTACCCATTTAAAAACTTATACTATATATTTTATTTTCAGCTTATCCAGTCATAGTCCGTTTAGATGCCAACATTGCCAGCAAATTGAATAGAAATAAAACTGTTGAAGTTGAATATTTCTCAATCATAGCAGGATCAGATGTAAAACTGTATAAAATTTTAAATGGTGAAATGAAGGCAGTGACTCTATTCTCTGTGACTAAGAAACTCGTTGAAATCGAAGTACCAGTGTTTTCACATTTAATCAAAACTGACGGAACGGGAGCTGATTTTACTTTTCATATAAAATCCGAGGAAGATTATGGATTTTATAATGTCGTTGTCTCAAACGTTATAGGATCCAGTAACAAATCGTTTGAAATAATACCGACAAGTAAGTCATTTGTTATAAATAAGAAGATAATTCACATTTATAGCAACAGTGTACTCCTTACATCGTTGTTTTACTGTTATTTTGATTGTGCACGATTTGCAAAAAAGAAATATTTTTATATGTTTTACAATGCAAGCTTGTTGTGTTTGTCTATTTATGTGAATATGAACGTCATAGTTCTGCGTTTTCTTAACAGCATTGGAAAGCACTGATCTTATTTATGTCAATATTTTTATGATTAAAAGTTATGTTTATTTCTGATCGTCAAAATGATTTGCAAAGATTTATAAAGATTGATTAAATCTCTTAGATATTTATTTTAGAGCCGCCAATGTCACCTAGTGATTTTACGATAGACTATATCCAGCATGACAAGGCCCGCCTCTCCTGGATGCGTGGGTACAATGGAGGATTGACACAAACATTCGTTATACAACTAGGAACAGATGAGAAATGGAGTGACGTAGAAGTGTTTGACAGAAATACAGAAGACAGAGACCGTATTTCCACAATCTTGACAGATCTTTTTGATTCAACAACATACTTTGTTAGATAATATGCATATAACGAGGAGGGAAATAGCCCTTTGTCGGAAACTCTAAATTTTACCACTTCTCCAATTAAAGGTAACAATTTTAAATTGCCATCGTTGCCATCAACACTGACTTTTCATGTCAACATTTAAACAAACCAAACTATCATTGGTTACTAGAGTTTTTAAAACATGTCCAGTTGAGTATGCAGGTACTGTACAATCAAATTTGTTTGTGTTTCTTTGCATATCTTATCTTACTATGTTTTATCAGTGTCTTTCATTTATATTATATCGTCATCATTTCCCTTAGAAATAAATCTGTTGGCTGTGCATTTATTTAAATAAACTTTTCTATTTAACTTGGTATTCAGTGAAAACGACAGTTGAGACAAACAACACTGCGATGATTATAATAGGAACAGTTCTTGGATTAATCATAGTTATCTTGCTGGTATTTTCAATATATATGATAGTACAGAGTAGACGTGAACTGACTCGGAATAAAGGTAACTCAATACATATTTGTATATATTGTTGCTTTTGTATGGTTATAAACGTTAAATGAGGATTAGCTTTTCCATGCGACGATATAAAATATGCTTTAGATAAACAGCCTTTAAAGAGTTGGGGATATTTGTTTATTTGTTTGTTTGTATGTTTGTTTGTTTGCTTGTTCCATTGTTTGATTGCGTTGGGTTAATATTTTATTTTGTTTTTGGGTTCATGTTTTATTTTTCTCTTTTGTTGTACATCTTTATTTGAAACTTGTATTTTATATCAGTGATATTATCAAAATTGTTCTGGTACTCTCGATTAGTGATTTTAATACTTTCGGGGTTAAGAATGAATTATGCTCCAGATAGCCTAAAAGACGTTGCAGTTTGAAACTTTCAAATATTTGGCTTTTCCGTGGCCCTTTTATGTTTGCTTAATAGAATATTAGAATTTTTCCTTTGTCGGACATATCAGTATGATATGTCGTGTACTCCATTTATATTGAATATATTGAAAAAGACTTGTGTCATGTTATACATTTTTAAAGAAACATAGCCATACGATTTGTGAAAAAAAAAATGTTTATCCAAGCGTTACATAAGTCATGTGCGATGTGAAATGTTCTTCATTCATAATGAATATATGAAAAACAACTTGAGTCATGTGGTTAACCTTTTCAAAATGATTCAAAACGTTATCGTTTAAAATACTTTACTTACTTGTAACTGCAATGTTTAATCAATAAGCTCAGCAAGATGTCTATCTATTTTAATGCATAAAAAACTAGAGCACACTTTGTGAATAAATTATGTTTTTACAGTACAAACTGATAAAACAAAATTATTATTATTATTTAACATTTCTTTATTTACAGATTTCTCCAGAAATACAAGCAGCAGAAGGTATGTTTCTATGATATATATTAATACTAGTATCATATAAATATTTTCGAATAAGTTTTATTACATGATAATAAAACGTGCACTTGAAATTCTTAAAAAGGAAGAGTAATAAAGCGATAAATCATCATGTAAAATTAATGTATGATAGTTTTAGCAAAATACAAATAGAATGGTTGGATACTCTAACACAGAAAAAACGTTTTGGATATGTAATTTTTTTTCTAAATGTAACGGATTTACTTCAACTTCAAGGTATGTCAATGTGGATGGCTCGAAAACTCTTCAAACAAAAGATGTAAAACTGAAAAACACATCTCACGATGTTCAAGCCTCAGAGAGTCAATATACAGAACTGGATAAAGATCTTAAAGAAGCAGAATCTGCATACGATGCTATTTCAACTATGTAAACTTTCGACGTAAAAGTGTCATTAAGTACACGTCCGTTGCGCGTTTGAGAAAAACGAAAAGTGACTTTAGACCTGTTAATGTTCATAAATTGAATGTTTCTGATTTCCATTGCCTTTAAAACATATGTTTTGACATAAAAATGGAAAGAAACCCGAACAACAAAGGAAATAATAAGCTAATATTTTGCAAAGATTGAATGATATTTCGACGGCTATTATTAAGATGTATAATTCAGATGTCGTGCATTTTTTGTGAACATAAAAAACTTTGTATCAGGCTGCTATCAAATTCATAAAATTTCTTAATATAACTAGAAATGAATACATTGTATATGATTTAAGTAAGCGTTGATTGAGTTCACGCGTCTTTTCGCGACACGTATAACATTACCATTGCTCTTTTCTTTAGAACTTTTATTCTTTCTCTTTGAATAATCATGTTTAAAATAAAATTGCATATTTCTTATCATATGATTAAAATGTTTTATCATGCATTATACTACTTTCCTGCAAAATATCTATAAAACAAGTAATTAACGTTGCAGACAGCAGTATATAATTAAACCGGGACTGCCTTGTTTGTAAGGAAGATGTGATGATGAAATCGCTATTTAAATGTTGTGCCGCATGACAACGTTTATGTTGATGACGTTAGTGACATCCCTGTTGTTTGACTGTTTATAATGTCAAACATAGGTTTAACGCTACTAGAAACAAACACAGTTATTACAATTTCAATCGAATGATGCTTAGAATTCGTGGCTTATGAATCACAAGATATAATGATAACAGATCTTATGAAATGATTAGGAGAAATATATCAGTCTAGAAAACTGTATGATGCGCGCAAATTATTACAAAAACATTTTAGTACGTATTAAATGTTACATAAACTTTTCATTGAATCTCTCTAGTTTCGCGTACGTGTGTATTAAGATCTGCGAATGCATTAAAGACTTTTTTTAAACATGGAGAATACAGTAAAGACTGTTATTCAATAAAACAAAATCATTGATCTCATAAAAATTGATCTGTAATGATTTCATGAAAGCAAACATGAAGTCCCGTCAGATCAGCTTTAACAAAATATGATAAAGATTATACTTCACAAAGAAAAACATACGTAAATGAAATTAGCTTCATAACTGACCCTAAAATATTTTCCCGAAAAGCATATCAACAAAATCTCATGAGGCACACTCTCGTAATTAAATAATTGATGAGGTCAGGTAAAATAATATAATCACGAGAACATGAGAAAATTCAACTAATAATTACGCGATGATTAACTGTGCATCTTTCAGTGATCTTTCATTTCAATTACATTGTATTTTGGAGATATTTTCTTGATTTCTTTTTTATATAAATATAACGTTATTTGATGTTATAAATTATGCCTTAGGCTAGGTGTTGTCGACGTTTAATTCTCTTTACTGGTAATTTAATGGTAATATTCGAAAATACTCAAAAAAAATACAAGACAATATCAAAAGTTAAGATACGTAGCTTAACTACAACAATGTCCACTTAAAGTAAATGTATGGATCATATACGATATATAACATTGTATACGTGTAAAACTAATATTGCATTGTACATGTATATCACATTATGCTTAGAATCTCAGTTTAATTATAGTGAATATATTTAATTTAATCAGCATAATTATAGTGATAAGTTCATTATCAGATAGATAAAAAAAAACTAAATTGTTTATATATTTGTGATGCAAAAGGGTATTGCTAATAAAAAATGTTTTACGAATGAACTTAAAGGATTCGATTTCTTCTTCAGATATTTCGAATACATAACACAAATTGCACTGTTCTGTCAATGTCAAGTGTGTAGTTTTAAGTCATTATTTCTATAATAAAGTCTCTTTTGAAAAATAAGATCGCCGTTTAGGATTAATATTTTGGAGTATATGCAATTGCACTTAAAACACGCATAAGATATTTGCTTGATTTTTAAGGCCCTTTACAGTATGCCTTATTGATTACTTTTCGAGAGATTTATGGGTAATTAAACATGGCGGATTTGTATTGCTGAAGTCCTGCAAACAGAATTTTCGCATTATTTCGCATACAAATGGACAAAAATTCTTGGAGCCTCTATATCAAATGCTTCTCCCGGACCAGAAAGGCCATATATGAACAGTTCCGAACCCCTTTGACCTATATAAATTGATCCAAGAGAGTGCCACACTCAACGGGTGGGGAAATGTCGGACTGGTCGTGAGATTTTTAAGATACAAAGTTGATAATATTGAATCATATCTTTATGTTCAAAGCGCCACGACTCCGTTTGCTAGACTATAAAATTAAATGATGAGGACCCGGTGAAATTAGTGAAAAACTTAATTGATGCCAATTTGAAACTTGACACGTCTCAGTGTTTCCTCATGTGTGAATTTAGACTTTGCCACGTGGTCACACCACGGACTTCACATCTTAATAGGAACAGACCAAAACCAAGAATTATATTGGCCAAATTCAGCAACGCTGGTGAAGTTAATGCACTGGTGGGCTATACACATCGTCTCAAAAAGTCTGTAGTATTGGCATTTCAAGCAATTACCCAAGGGAGATAGGCGATGAGGGAAAAAACTGTGTGCCCGAATTCTAGCTTAAACGAGGTGAATTTTGTAAAGACAATGTGAAGATATGGTACCCAGCTGCATTGCTAGGTAATGGTCGTATCACTCGCACCTTCTTTCTGGATTGGCCCGATATTCACAAAGAATCTAAAATTACCGACGAACACAAACGTATTTCTTATACTCTTAAATCCGAATCAGAGTGTATTCGACAAGCATAATTATGATGTATAGCTTTCAACCCTTCTGAAGAAAGCCCCGATCCGCCTCCTTACATATCAAACCTAGCTGAAAGGTTAGTTGTTGTTACATGAGTACATTTAGATGTTTCATCACTGTTCCCATGTTAATTACCAGTACATTGTTTAAAACTTTATTTTCCGTCATGTTGTTCTGTTTATAAGCCGGACACGAATAAAGTTTATGTTGTTATTAGTTCGGAATACGGAAATATTCTTTCGTCTGCTGTTGACTTCTTTTTTTGATAAATCATTGCATGACTAAGAATAAAAGCACATTTATTACTTTCATTCCATTTTTCAAGAGTTTGTTATCAAATTTTCCTTTAAAATAATAACAGCATCCCATGACACATTATAATATAGAGCTTCATTAAGTTAGCAGATTTTTTGGTTTATATTGGAAAAATAAAGGTTTCATTCTCAATCGAAGATTTATTTTCAGACTAGAACCATGAATGGTCTTGCATTCAATGTAAACTTGTAGATTTCTTTGAGTTAATATTGTAGTTAAAGCGATGAAAGAAAGCCCGGTGTCGTGTATTGTCTGAGGGCTTGGCTGTGTAACATTTGAGAATTTCAGTATATGCAACTTACTTACGGATCGTCTCAAAAGAAGTATATCATGAACACAATTGCTATTTATTTATGCAATCATATATGCGTGATAAAACTTCAAAATTGTTTGCGTACGAATGATAACAGCTCAAATGTGTAAGTGGATAGCTATAATTGTAGTGGTTAAATTCGTAATTGAAAGACCATGATACGTTTTGTAAGACAATGATACGTTTTGTTTTTATTTCACTGTATATGTAAGGAAGATATCTTTGTTTAAATTTCAGAGATATATTTATGAACTTTGCTAGTTAAAATTCCTGTTAGTGTATTTTAAACTATATCTTAAGTTAAATAAACCAGGGTATGATTGATGTATAGCCTTTTTACAACATTATACATTTCGATGTATATACATGATATATATAAATACACAAAAATACAACTAGGAAGTTTTAAACGTTTATTGACATGTCTTAAATGTGTCTTTAATAATCATGTTTTTCTCTATACTTATCATTGGAATATGTATTTCGTTCTCACAAGGTAATCCTTAAATCATATATATTTCTATATAACTATTGTTTTATTAAACAAAGGTCTTTCATTTTATGTTTTTTAAAAGTTTCATTAAGTGCTTTTCGTTAGTAACTTGTATATACGTTACGAAAACTATTATATTTCATTTTGAAAAATTATTTCATTATTGTCAACTGATATATGAAATGACCACTTGCAGAATCTTTAGTTTTTATGTTAAACAGTACAAAATGTATACATAAATTTTAATTATGAAATTTTTTTATGTGCTGATTGGATAAAAGTCCGTATCACTTAGTTTTTACACGCATACATATATAATAATAAAACTGCATACGATATAAAAAATAGAAAGGAGAAGAACTTTCAATATTTTCTTTGTAAAAATATCTCAAAAATAATTAATTTAATGTTGATTTGTTTTGTTATTTTTCAATGAAATATCATACTTACTTAAAATTAATCATTCACGTTTTTTTAAATAATAAGCTCGTTACATTTTTATCACTTGTCGATAAATTTCTATATAATTTTCAATCAAGATATCTCTCCTTATACACTTTTATGAAAAGAAGAAGGCAGACATGATGTATTTGGGAAATCATACGAGTGTTCACTATTATTTAAATACTAGAATAAAACAACTAATTTACTAAATGATGAGAATTGCTTATATCTAAACTTGACAATACACAACAATGACATTCGATTTATGATATTTTACTTTGAAAGGTACAACCACTTTTTAAATCCCAAGGCTGGAACTGGGGGGATGATACATTTCAACAGTAGGGTTTTCTGTAATATTGGCTCTACTGGTTGGTATGGATTTTAACAGATCCTTAGTACTAAATGGAGGTGTGTTTAGACCAGAAGACAACAACAAATATACAGAAAACCAGAGGAACATCATCGTTCACATTGACAATACGCAACACTGACATACTGATGGAGGAGATTATAGATGTAAAAATGGGATTTTGATCAGAGTCAGTTTAAACGTTCTTAAAATAGAATGTAAGTTTTTAAACAAAGAAACAAATAATACAATACAAAGCATATATCAATGTTTATTGTGAAAAGAAATAAAATTCAAATAATTTAGACAGATGATATTCCATTTTAGGATATTATGTTAAATACATGTAAATAGAAGAATTGAAAAAGTTAGGTTTAAATTTACTGAACCCAGTTGAATTTGAAATCTATCGTGAGAGCCTCTACACGAATAAAATATTCTATTTGCCACACATATAATACAAGAACGGTAAAACTGTTAAAAAGAGTCATTTTTGCATTGCCGCGCCAATAATGTAATGCTAAGATTAGAGCACTTAAACGCTATTTTTATATCTTAAACGTAAATGACGTCATGTCAAAGTGTTATTATACTAGTGTTATATCGTTTTTGTGAAATTGCTTTTTTACACTCCAAGGTTTATGTGATAAATGACTTTCATTTGATAATCGCCCCTCATTTGATATATCATAAAAACAAAAATGAAACAACTAAAACTGCTTTGTACATGTATATGGCTTGAAACATTGCAAATGATAGCTCTCACGTGGTTCAACGTCTTTTCCATATGTTATTATTACTAAAAGCAAACGGGATGAGTAACTACACATATACCATAAAGTATAGAAAGATCGTATTGTTCCATTCGTACAAGATCAATATATTTAGAAATTATTGAAACAGAAAAATAAAGCTCTGAAATGTCAAAACAAGGATAATTTATCATATACTTATAAAATGAAATATTGATAAATATTGAAATAAAATGAATATTTTAATTTTCGTACTTTCACTTTTGTCGTACCGGACTAATTTATTCTAAATTCAGTCATTAAACAAAATTAAAGGGGGAAGTCTTTTGAAACGTAAAGACGAAAAAAAAGGAAAGGTATGTAATAATAAAAAAAACGAGATTTTTTTTATCAATAACAGATTTATTTTCATCTCGTGGTTTGAAAATTATGTTTCACTCGTGGCTACCGTCACTCGTGAAAATCGATTTATATGTACCACCCGATGAAAAATTAATCCCGTCTTTATAGGCAAGTTTTAAAGTTTTTATTATATATGTATGATATTATCTTAACGGTATTTTATTATTATTTATAAATTATATTATGCACACCCCTTTGCACATTGAAGTAAAGTGTTTATAATCAAGTAAAAATGGTTTTTATTTTGTAGGTAAAGCATCATCAGCTACACACAGCGTAAACAAGTGGAAAGAAAGTACAGATAAACAGTAGATAAACTATATCCTGCCTACACCAACACTTACTGCTACATTTAAAAGACAGGTATTATTCTATGTTATGAAAAAAGTTAGTGATACACAAAATTCACTAATTGATAAACAGAGCACTTTTATTGAATATAAGTGACGAAATTAAAGGTTTAACAATGTATATATGTATTCTATTGTAAAATAATAAAATAAACATGCAAGAATATTTTCAAACATTTGGTAGCATCAGAGCTGAACTGATTATGAAACAATAATCGATAAATAGAATATTCATTATGACTCAATTTACTTTATGCACCCATGTATCAGTAGTTTTCCTAAACTATGCTTACATGTAAATGAAAATCGGTGTCGTGTATTAGAATCTATTTTTCATTAAAAATCTTCAGAACATCTACATATTTATGTTCCATTATGTGACGAATCTTTTGGAACTTATTTCTCACTAAGGCAGTACAACGTTCTACTAAGTAAATACTGATGTACTGCTACGTGAACCTATTTACATTATATTTGGGCTTATTCACTTATGTTTCTTTTGCATGCTACAGTTAGCCGCTTCATTTGACAAATTTGCTTTCATCTCATCAAATAAGAAATTTATTTAATTACAAAAGAGATCATTTAAAAACCATCAGCATATGTTGCTTAGCGCTTAATATTTGAGAAAATGCTTAAAATAACGATGTCTATGATCATAACGATGTGACTGAAGAGCTGTCTGTACATGTACAAATATATTTTCGATGAGACCTATCTACCTACAAAGTTTCATGTTGGTACCTCTTATAATTTTAGAGTAATGTCCCGGACAAAGTTCAAAGTGTCAAAATGAACAAAGGGCAATAACTCCAAAAAATAGGCAAGAAAGAGTTACGGTTCTTGTGCACTGCAAACCTACTGAATGAGATCTATTTATCTGCAAAGTTTCAAGTTGATATCTCTTATAATTTTAGACTTATGTCCCGGATAAGGTTCAAAGTGTACAAATAAACAAAGGGCAATAACTCCAAAAAATAGGCAAGAAAGAGTAACGTTTCTTGTGCACTGCATACCTAGTCAATGAGATCTATCTACCTACAAAGTTTCATGTTGATACCTCTTATAGTTTTAGAGTTATGTTCCGAACAAAGTTCAAAGTGTAAAAATAAACAAAGGGCAATTATTCAAAAAAATAGCCTAGGCAGAGTTACAGTTCTTGTGCACTGCACACCTACTCAATAAGATCTATCTACCTACAAAGTTTCATGTTGATACCTCTTGTTGTTTCTAAGTAATGTCCCGGACAAGAAAAGCGGACAGACGGACGAACAGACGGACGTTCTAACGGGACAGTAATTATGTGGCTACTCTATTGTTCTCTCTATTGTTCTTTTTAGCCACACAAAAGAAAATAGCCACATAAAAGCATTACGGAATGAATGACATCAAAGAGAAAGAACAGTTACCTATTGTCCTTCTAGCCACATTATTACTGTCCCGTGAGAGCGGAACTTACGGACGGACAAGGCGGCGACTATATGCTCCCCCGAAATTTTTCGGGGAGCATAAAAACATTTAAACCGTGACATTACTCATGATTATAAAAACCATATACCAAACATATAGTATAACGAGTATCTATTTAACAGAATAGCGCCATCCAGATACCAGGATCTTCAGCATGTTCAAGTAGCACACAGTATACAGGCTACTATAGATGTGTTTGGACTTCTAGTAACTCTTTAGATGATGGGTCGTATACATACAACATTGTTGTTACAACAATCACACAAGCTTCTCCTCTAACAGGATCATTTAAAATAGGTATGTGAGGTAGGATTCTTCTTATAATTATTTTCTATTTTCAAAATTTTTATCAACTTCCTATTCTACGGATGATAGGAAATTTGATAGGACCTTTGATATACGTTACCTCTGAGGAATAAAACGACATCTATAAAGTAAAATGATAATGACCTTTATTAATACTCTAACACATTTGTCATGTGACCAGTCATTATTTAAATAAAACTCAATCTATTACAAGTATACACCTACAAACAATTATAAACTTTATATTTGTACGTCATCAGTTTGTAGACAGTTACATAGTGTATAGTTTTTAACGTCAAAAAGTTGTAACAAAAATTGAATTACTGAAAGTCTATGTAATATCATGCTTTCAGGTTATCCGGTGTTTTATCATCCGAAAAAAAAATGATTTTAAATGAAACCAACTTGGCATTAATATAAAGCTGATTTGATCATTTCAGCGTCACCTGGAAAACCCTTAATCTCAAATGTTATACAGTTGAATGCTAGTCGTGAAGTTGTTTACGGAAATGAAGGACAATCTCTGACAATACGATGTACTTCAACTGGAGGATATCCCACACCAACAGTTACCTGGTATAAGAACAGTATATCTAGCTCTAACCAGTTGGCCTTTTCAAGTTCAGGGACATTACAAAGTGATGGTACATACACTGTCAACCTACAACATACATTTACACCTGCTACATCAGATGATAGGAAATATTTCATATGTAGATCGTACTATCCTCAAGCTGATAGTGCTCAAGAAGGATCAAATAACAAATCTGTGTTACTTTACTTAAGATGTGAGTAATAAATAATTAACTTTTCTCTTTATAAAAGAGAGCTTCTAAAACGTACTGTTATAATAAACGTGCATATTTTGATGTTTCATATATTTTTGCTGTTTGTAAGGAGCTGAAGAAATGAATATAGTAATTGAATTATTAGGCAAATTTTGGTTACATTCCCGAAATATCCCTGAAAATGTAATCTGACATTGTATCTTCACATTATGATTGGTCTAACTATAAATGTTGAATTGAAACTAGCTTTCATCACATTAACAAATGTTTTGTCGGTTTATCTATAAAAAAAATGTAATGAGTAATGCGAGAAACGGGTCGTCCGTCAGCCCCACCGTATTATAGTAACTCATAAACTATAGCTGCTATAAAGTTGATGCTTTATAATTCAAGTAGTATAAAAGTGCCACTCTTTCGTCATAAAGTCTAACGTGCAATTTGTGTTCCCGCCTGGTCCATAACTTCGGCATACAAGACGGGGTTTATAAATTTGTAAAAGTAGTAATCCTGACTACCATCAGTTGATGATATCTCGCATGCCGGACATAGGTCCTTAGGTCAAATCGCAGGTCACAGCAGGAATATAACGTTATGAATTACTAATACAAGTATATCAGTGCAGTTTTTATTCCATATATTTTTTCCTTGAATGATTAAATTTTTCATCAATTGTTACATATGACCAGTATTTTTGGAGTTATTGCCCTTTTAAATATTTTCAAATCTAATTTTTTGTCTGGGAAATAACTAATGTTTTTTGGAGTTATCAATTTAAAGCTTCATTGATTGATGAATATTATTTTTTGAAAATACTGGAGATACTGTCCTTTGTAATTTTAATACATACGTTTTGACAAAAACTTTTCAAAGATATCGACTTGGACGATAAACTTTTACGAGTTTTTTCTACTTTATATTAAAGTTTAAGAAAGGAGTGATCTTTCAAGAACAATGAGAACAAACATAAAAAGATCAATACAGCAGACGTTCAATGAATGTTGCAAATGTCACAACAGTTTTCTGCCATATTGAAGGTTCCGTGATAACCGCCGTATGAACACATCTGCGGATGTTTCTAAATACAAAATTTCACTATTTTCGTGTGTTGGATTCTGCTTAAGCCTGTGCGAAAGCCGTGGACGGTAACTTGCACTTTCCAGTACCGTCCATGAGCAGGCTCAATCAAACCGAGCCTACAACCTTTTCAATTTTGCCGTGTTGGACTTTCTATGCAGATTCTGTTTTTCTGTATTTGTTCGAAAAGGTAATGAAAGGTGCCGCATCTTTTACGTTCCCTATCGCTAAGACAGTATTCAATATTTAACAATTAACTTATTTAAATCAATGAGTGTGAAATAAAAAGAAAATATAAAAATACTGAAATGGGTTCGGTAACTTACTGGAAAGGCATTTGAAGATTAAAGATGTACATGCATTTGTTTTCTCAACAATCACAGAAAGCACTCTCTTACAATGTCTTAAGTATTTATCGGGATGATAGAAGGTCCAAACTCGAATTAACATGTAAAGGACATGCAATGGATGTCTTTAATATGATCATTCCAATGCATAGTGCCAAATACATTCATATTGATGCTAATTGAGATCGTTGGAAATGTAGCTGTAACTAAAACAATGACTGTAGCTGTATAAGAACGCAGATGCTTAAGCTTAATATATCAATTAGTCGAACAATGCCTGTCATTTTATTACGGTTATTTCTTTCTTTCAGTGAAGCCAAACCAGCCAACAGTTACGCAGACAACTGTTGTATCAGCTGGTAGTACTGTAACGGTAAGATGTACAACGAGTGGGTGTAGACCAGCAGCCAGTATATCCTGGTTATATCAAGGTGTGACGTATAGTGGCAGTACAACAAACACACCTGATGCTGCAATAGAAACATTTACAGTTGTTTCTATATATACCAGACAGGTAACAGCTGCGGATAATGGACAAAGTATACAATGTATAGTTACTCATCCTGCATTAGTGAGTCCAGCACAGCTGACTAGATCAACAAATTTAAATATTCAATGTAAGTAAATATTAAATAGACCAGCATACTTAAAATTGTAAAATAATTTATTATACACTTGTATATCAAGAAAAATATGTAGGTTACCATTGTAGGTTATAAATCAGAAAATCGAATGTACAATATTACCGACTTCAAACACATAAATGTGAAATCCTAATACTGATAATACAAGGGTTGTCTAAATAAGTCATAAATATTTTACCGAGTATTACACATACTATTTGTAACAGAATTCGACGCGAAATCCGGCGTCATAATATTGTGATATCTGAATGTATATCCTTTTCGTAGTACCTCGTCTGTGTGGAATAGACTTTTAATGTGAGGCTACCTACTTACACAAGACTAACATTAATTGCCAATGTTCAGGATAGTCAATTTAACAGTCTAAAATTTCTGAAACATTGCGAGTTGTCTGTTTTGCTCAATAGTATTTAAACTTACTTCACTGTTCATGATCGCTTGACTGTGGTCATCCAATTTTTTATGTAACTTATTGTTGTTTTTTCTTATGACACTTGTAAACTAATGATCCAAGTATGGGTATTCAAGTGCTTCTCACAAAATAATATTAAGCATGGTCGTAGGTATCATTAGCACTGAAAGCAGATATTGATTAACTTCTGAGTCGCGTCAGTGATTTGGTATGAGCATTTTATGAAGAAAACAAATTTCTTGCAATTTCCTTGAAATTATGCCAAATATAGCGTCAAACCGTCAACGTCATAACATTAGGCAGACTTTTTTCTTCATCGACCACTTACTTTGATTTGAAAATAATGGGTATGGTTTGTAAAATTACAATTACAATCAGGTATGTTTTAATGCTTTAGTTTTAGTAGCAGTGTTTTATTTATGCGTAAATGTTTCTTATTTCATTTCAAATGATGGTAATACACCTAAGCAAATAGTTTAAGGCTAAGGCTTATATTGTTTGTATTACAGTGATTGTTTACGATTTTGTGGGGCAGCCCTCGTAGTAAGGAAATTGAAGCTTAAGAGAATAGTAGCATTTCTTGATTTTACATAAAGACCACCTAGCACATAGTTCTGTTACATTGAAATAGAGACGGACAGGTCTAGCAAAATAAATTTATTTCTGGTCTTTTAGGATAAAACATTCCGAAGAATTCAATGCGTAATCGTGTTCAAAATCAATTATTGCCTAAGTTGGAGCCAGAGGGCGTGAAAAATGTTGCACTATGCAGTATGATAGGTTAATAAGTTAAGTATTGTAAAAGTCGTACAATATGTAAGGTGAACCTAATTTGCACTGCCATTATTGGAATTGTTTTGACAAATGACAATTAAGCACTACATTTTTATTGTTCGACTGTTTTGTTGTGAAGGCGGATAATAAATAAAAAGCTATGTTTGAATATTATAGAAAATAATTGAAATTTCTGTAGGAATGTTCATGCATAGCCTGAAGTAACTCTTTTTAATATAAAGAAAATTGTGTTTGTTTCTTTATTTGTTTGTTTTTTTGTTGTTGTTTTTTTCAGTTCCCCCGAATGTTTCAGTAATTGCAACAAACACTACGGTTAAAGAATCTAATACTTTGTTAATGTGTATTGCAAAAGGTGCTCCCGACAGTAATTATAGATACGGAAAATGGATTCAAAGATGGCCAGGATATGGAGTGCCTGTGTCAGTGAGGCCCGGAAGTGAGACGCTAGAACTGACGGGTTTAACATACGAGCACTCCGGATTTTATACGTGTACTGCCAGTAATGGAATTAAAGTCTTTGGTACAAACATAGAATTTATTGAAGGAAAAGAAGTACATTTACTTGTGAAATGTAAGATCTTTGTTGATAAATGTCGTTTTATTATATATTTTATTCTACAACTGTAATAGTCTCATTTATATATAAAGCATTTTCATCACTACTACTACTTTGTTTACATTTCGCAACTTTTATGACAAATAATTTGAAATTCAGTGCTTCTTTCTTCATGTGAAAAGCACTTACATGCTCTTAAACGATTATTTTCATTTACATTATATTTACATTATGCCTCAGAAATGAATATCTTTTCCTTCCGTAGAAAGGGCAAACAAGTTTAAATGATTTTGTAGTAATGCACTTAGAACATATGAGATGCTTATCACCTTTTAGAAAAAGTGTTGTATGTAAAATATTGGTGTTAAAGATAGCAAAATGTAAAGAAAGCATTATTTTAAACTCAATACAAAATCTTAAATAACTATATCTTACTTATTGCCGAAACGCAAAAGAGGTCACAAAAATAAAAGGCCTTTAGAATTTAAAATTTTGATATTATGCATATTTGAGTATTATTGGAACTTTAATCTATATGTTCTGTTTTCTGTAGCGTTTCCAGTTATAATCACTATGGATGACAAATTTGCAAGCAGGATAAATAAAAATGTAACTGTCAAGGTGGACTATTTCTCGAACGTACCTGGAACAGAAGTGAAACTTTATAAAAATGTAAATGGTGCGGGAAAAACAGGCGTTACCTTATTTGTGGATAAGAATCCTGTTGAAATTGAGTTACCCGTATTTTCACACTTTGTCAAAATCAACGGTACAAGGTCTATCGTAACAATTCCAATAAAATCAGAAGTGGATTATGGGTCATATATTGTTGTTGTCTCAAATGAAATAGGTTCTAGTAATAGGTCATTTGAAGTTGTGCTGACAGGTGAGTCATTTACAAGGAACTATTTATCTTTTTGTCTTTGGTTATTATTCGCGATTTCAAATTAAACATACGTTTCTCAAAACGGATAAGGAAATCCTGCAACGTTATATAAAATAGCGGTAATGGAAAATCATATATCACATAGATCCATCTCCCACTGAAAAGCGAACACCTTAATTACTTATTCCTACACACACACGCGATATTAACTCATTTATAAAAAACAACTATTTTTTATTAGGATCAAATAAGTTCAAATTTTGGTTTTAGAGTGTCAGTTGAATAGAAATATATTTATAATAAATTTCACATTAATGTGAGACCAAACAACAGATTGTGTGCAACTAGGTAGGCAAAATGCCCTTACCTGTTGTTATAAAAAATAACACAATTTTAGAATTGACTTATTCCATCGTTAACACTAATGTTGACACATCGCATGATCAAAATTCATGTGTTTATTATAATAATGTTACTCCGTCATTAAGGAATCTTATTCTTATTTATTTTCATCGAATATTTGGTCAAATTAACTGTGTCGGAAGAAAAACTTTGCATGTCAAAATATTTGCAGTTTAGATAAGCCAAACCATTGACTGTGAAAATGATTGTATACTTAGTGTATTGATACCAGTGCTGCATAATTAAAGATTATGAACAAAGTAACAAATAATTATAATTATATAAAATAATGATAATCGAAAAAAATCGTGAATAATCGACAAAATACGATGTTACGCGAAGAAGGAGCATATGAAAATTCTCACTTTCCTTTTTTCAAATTAGAGCAACCAGGTTCACCGAGAGGTTTTACAATAGACTATATTCAGCATAACAAGGCGCGTTTGTCGTGGATGCGTGGATATAATGGAGGCTTGACACAAACTTTCGTTATACAAGTAGGCACAGATGAAAAGACATGGAGTGATGTGAAAGTATTTGACAGAATTACTAAAGACGAAAAGCCAATAACCACTGTCTTGTCAGATCTTCATGATTCAACAACATACTTTGTTCGAGCATACGCATATAATGAGGAAGGAAATAGTCCTTTGTCTAAAACTCTTAATTTTACTACATCTTCAATCAAAGGTAAGAGTTCTTAGAAAATGAATTAACTGTTGATAACTTTCAAACGCGTGTTAGCCTTTTATGAATGAATATCCTTGAATAACAAAGATAATCAAATCCGATAAGTTTTCACATGATGACAATAAAATGTTTCTGTATGTCGTTTAATTTGTTTTTCTGATTTTGATATGACACCGTTTTGTCATTGCCATTAGCACCGACATGTATTCATTCCAAAATCTGAATACAGTTAAGGGAATCATTGACGCGTTGCAACATTTCCTGATACCTCCGATGAGTTTTAAATATGAATGCATCTAAGCAGGTAAAATGTGATTCTTTATAGGTTTCATTGATTTGTTTTAAATTCTGTTTACTCGAAGTATTCACCGCTAACAGATACTCTTTTTAGATGACGACATTGAAATATTGCAAAAGGTGATAAAAGTTCGACGCGTAGCGTACGTTTCAGCTTTTGAAACAAAAAGAAGTCACAAGAGGAAAGGTTAGGTGAAAACGGAGTATTGGGGAGGACAGCGACTTTTCCTCCTTCAGAAATTCTTGCACTATAGACGCCTTGTGCGATAAAACGTTGTCATGAAGCAATCTGACACTTGCCAAACCAACCTGACGCGGGCTTCATTTTGGAATGCATTTCTTAGATTTTCGAAGAAGTTTTGCCTGGTAAAATTTTGCATAAACATATTTACCTTTAGGAAAAGCAAACTGTATGGCGGGAGCTTGAGTTGTAAGGAAAATGGCAAACAGTTTCTTCTTTATATTGGGTCTTTTTCACAAAGCATGGCCTTTTGTTTGTTTTCGTTTTGGTTCATAATAATAACAACCCATGTTTCATGATCAGTGTCTACATTTGTAAGAGACGGTTCAACGTATTTTGTATACTATTTAAGCAACAACTTCTTTCTGCGCATCTATCAGTAAATGGGGTATCTATCTAGCACAGAAATTTTGTGAATGGTATGAGCTGCTCCTACTTATGTGCCAACGATACTAGCTATTTGCCTAGTGGTGTATTTTGCATTGATATTTACTATTTCTTTTACTTTAGCAGACGTTGTTTATTTAGGCTGACGTACGCGTGCGCATATTCAGTCGAAATTTATCCACATTTGACTTAATTAAACCTACAAATAACTGACGAAAAAGACATTTCATTTTGTCCATATACAGAAAAGGTTTCATCAAGTTTTCATGTCTTTTCACCCTATGTCAAGAAGACAACGATTCTTATTTTATGACCGTATTTCAATGGCATACTATAAACTTCTTACTACAGTATACGAGTAGACAATGTATAGCAAGCAATAAACACAGTTAAAGTATTGGGATTTTAAAGAATGAGGCATTATGCATATTAAGCCAATAACATTCGTTTCCTCGCGTTTGTCAAAATATTGAACGATAGATGCATTTATATTTGAAACTCCTCATATACATAGCGGTTGCTATCAAATAAACGAATATATTTGTGCAAGTTGTCCTTTAAAATTCATTGTATAAACGAATATCAACACATTTTCTTCTCTGAACATATGTACTAATAATTATTCTTTCAAATATTTTACATAGTGAAGGTCACTATTGAGGCAAATAACACGTCTACGATTATCATGGGAGTAGTTCTCGGCATTGTTATAGTTGCGTTTGTAATATCAATGTACGTGATAGTACAGCTCAAGAGGAAACTTGAACACAATCCAAACAAAGGTAACCCAGATTATATTTGCAAATTATTTTAATTTTTAATAGTTATCTTTCAATGGATATAATCATTAGCCTAAGACTATTTAAAAGGGAGTTTTAGAATAAAATTGAAACTAACTGGTGTGTTATATTTAAATAACAACATATTTCTTTCCAGTGACATTTTAGTTTTCAACTATCCATTTAAAGGTTGCTCTCGTTACTCTCATGACATTTACCTTTTTCCAGAATGTTTTATTAATTTGCTGGGAAAATCAATACACAATATATGTTATTGTAATTAATTTTAACAGAAAGACGACCATTCGAGAAACGAAAAATATTGTATTCACATATACATTTATAGTACTTGTATGATTACGAAATGGTTCATGTATAAACATATTGAACAAAAGGAAAACAAGCATGTCATGTGATAAACCACTTAAAATGAACTATGGACAAGCAACATTTGATATTGATTCAAAAATACTTAACTTGTTTTTGCGATTACGTTAATAATTTGTCTTCCTATCTTGTATTTTCATAAAAATATTGTTAACGAGAAGCTATAAATTATTGTTGAAGAGAAACTAGAACCAACGTTATGAATATCACGTGTTTGTACTTTTTTACAGATATCTCCAAAGATACAAGCAGCAGAAAGTAAGGTTTATGAAATAAAAACATTTATACATTTATAAACATAGCATAATAGTTATACTTGTGTTCAAATCATTAGGCAGCATCTATGTTTAGAAATGCCAAATTATTTCATGATATGATAATAACACATTTGTAAATCCTAGTATGAAACAGCAATGGGAATTAAGAGAACATATATAAGAAAAAATAAATAACAGGTTTAGGAAATAAATATAATGGAGCCCCTATGTACAACAACACAAAGAACACAAAAATTTCAGCTTTTTAAAGTTTTATTTATTCTTTTAGGTATGTAAATGTGGATGATTCGATCAAACTGAAAACAGAAAATGTAAAGAAGAAAGGCACATCTCCCGATGTTCAAGCCTCAGAAAGTCAATATACAGAGCTTGATAAAGATCTGAAGGAAGCAGAATCTGCATACGATGCTATTTCAACTATGTAAAATGACAACGTACACGACGTGTCATTTAGTACACGTCATATCCACGTGTTTGCTGGACCTTAAGATAATTCAGAGATAGTTCAGAGAATTTATGCATATGATAAATATTGAGGAACTTTTTTTTCAAATTCCTTTATGCTTGCTATAAAGAATGTTGTCTTGACATAAGCGTGTATTCAATGCTATTTTTTGTTTTTTTAAAATGAGGACGTAAACGTGACAGTAACTGCGCGTCAGATTCATGTTTGTGTTAAACTAAAAGTAGATCACCAACGTACATCAGTTGAATACATGTGTTATATATAATTAGTAAGGGTCTTTTTATAATTTCGTTATGTTAACGATAAGAAATCTGTTTTGTCATCTACATAGATAAAGACTTAGCGAAATAATATTTACATATTATCAACTGGAAGAATGGCTTTCGGAACAGAATGTAAAATTTATTCGTAATGAATTTTTTGTTTTTAAAAATGAAATTGTTTTTTTACTTTAAATAAAAGCTACTTTAAAGCTGCATTTTATAAATATGTAAAGAAATTTCGGAGTAGGTCTAAAAACAAGCATTCTACAGATTAATTTTACCTTTTAAACAGTATTGTTGTAAATATAATCAAATAGTGTTCCGAAAACTCCACTGTAACACTCACGTTCGTTTACGAATTTTAACATGCAAGTGAAGAGTATAGATAGCTCTTGTATGCGCTCATGCAATTGACACATCACAGTGTGAAGCATTAAAAAACAGTTGTTGTTATCTGGAACCCGGTAACTGACGGATTTTCCCATTTAACGGATGTGCAAACCCACTGTTACGGCTATTCTTTCACGATGCACTCGGCCTGTCGTTCACAAAATAGTAATCATCTAAATGTGTGTGAAAACATGCGTGGAAATATACCGTAAGATTCTGAACGCTACTTAAAGCCATGTTTGTTCATTTTCTGTCAAAGACCGGATAACATGAAGGCGGAGTTTCTCATCAAAACATAAAAATTGTGTACTTTGTATGTTCGATACTGCCACTATGAGATAACAGGCATTTACGGTTATAAAACTTATTTTATAAGATCATCTTATTTCTTTACACCAAAATAAGAACAGGACTCGATATGAAACCGATTTTTGTTAACGAAATGTAGCTATTTTTGTTTTTATGAAAAATATCAAATGGAGCATTAATGTAGCTTAACTTTGTTTAATGTTTACTTAGATGATGCTTACAAGTCATCATTTTCAAAAGGTTCTTCGTTTTGGGGGCGGAGGCCGTCTAAATCTAACAGGGAAGAACTACATATCAGAAGAATTTGCATAAGTCATTCTAAATTACAAATTGAAATCTGGGAATCGAATGTGCAATTCAAAAATAAAATGTAAAGGATAGTTCTTGCCATTTTAAAATAAAATTTTGAGTAAAAATTAAAGAAAAAATTGTATAGGATTGTTCTTGTCCTTATATAATAAAATGTAAAGGATAGTTCTTTTAACTTTCTTTTTAAATTCCTGAGATACCATACTTCCTTACACAAAGTTTATCTAACACATCAACTTACTGAGTTATCATTTCTATACAAAATAACGAGACCACCAATAACATTCATGATCCAGAAAAGTTAACTCATGCACATGAAAATATCAAAACTCACCAAAAATACGAACTTATCAGGTACTCTCAGATTATGATTTTCACTAAGTGTCCAATATATTATAAAATCATTGTTATAATTTGCAAATATTTTTGCATGATAATCAAGTATTTATGAATATAATTGCCTATCGACTGCGTTGATATTTTATATTTTCATTATAGCTGTTTGATCAAACCTTTTTTAAGTAATTTGTTGATAGTACCCACTATCTACTTATTACTATTTATAATACTCCATATATGATTCTACAAGTAATACTGTCAATATTGCATATTGTTACAAAATTTATCAACACAAAAAGTAAAGTAATAGGGACAATATCAAAATGCTTATAATCTATTTTATGTTTACAAAACATGCCTTTTATCATAGCAACAAGAAATTATTATGTCCCTGATATGCATGCATTGCTAACATTTAATTTCGAAATCTTAGAAATAACATATGCAAGTTGACCAGTTTTACTTCGGTCGAGTTTCTTTTTTAAAAACATTTCTTGTTAATATTTTGTTCTTCATTTTTAACTTTTTGTCAAAAAACATGAAGCATGCTTTTAAACAATAGATAACGCTTTTGTTCGCTGTTTATACAATGAAAACGAAGAAAACAATATAATGACACTCTTTGAGAATTATTTATGCTCTTTATCAGTACAATATCCACTTGATGCATCACTTCTATTACTTCTGCTTATATCACATGTTATATTTTCCTGATATTGTATCTTCTTTATTATATCACTATCCAGTGCTTCATTAAGAACACATCGACATTGACTTCTTGTGGTTAGATAATCTGGCTGTATACTTCTTCCCATTTGATCAATATCTGTAACAATAAATATGTTTGAATTGTAAAGATAAATACAGTGCTGTGTATAATTGAGAATAAATTCATGAATGTAGATTTCATATTGTCAGTTCATTTTCACCGTAAAAAAGAGTAAACAAAATCTCTAAAGAATGCCCAAAACAAATTATTGAAAATGACAAAGGCTTGGTACAATAGAGCCTGTTCATGGACGAAACTGGCAAGTGCAATTTACCGTCATCGCCCCTTAGCACCGGTTTAAGCAGAATTCGTCATTTAAACATGAAATGGTGCAATTTTGAGTTCAGAAACATCCGCAGATGTGTTCATACGATGGTTATCGCGACCTTCAATGTGACACACACCATTACAGAAAAAGTGGCGTTATACGATATACAAATACATGTATAAAAATGACCTTTATTGTACATTTTAAATTGCATATTTACTGTATATGTGTCTAAACATTCATGTTTGAAATTACAACAGAAAAGAAAAGTTATTAATCTAAGGTATATTATACGGATAAATTTCAGAACCTGATGTGTCAATGTGATGGTTCCCTTCATAAAGTATAGTTAAATTATCCTTTTCCCACACAATGGTGCTGTATGAATTACCGTTATGCGATATCTTTTGGCTTGATGTTGCCCTGAAATCTGATTTATGTTTAAATTTAATCAAAAACATAAGATTGGTGTTATTAATATTTAACTCATTTATCAAGTAAAGTTACTTCATGTTTTTTAAAACATAAGATAAACGTTAGGGAAAATGAACATAATCAGCAATATCATGTGTGATTCGTGTAGCGAAATGACACCATCCTGATGTAAATTACAGACTTTTTCATTTCTTTTGCAATATAATTATGTCATTGCATATTTCTGTTACAATAATTCTAAACAGGGTAGTAAAAAAGCATAATTGAGAATTGAAGAGATTTAAAACATAAATGATTACGGAAACTATGTTATTATGTAGTGAGCGCAGCGATTAGAATTAATCAAGTGTATTATCAGTGAAGAAAATAAACAAAACATGTAATTGAGAATATTTTAGATGACATTCTTCAAAACAATTAAATATACAATTTTCAATATATTTTAAAACAACATTGTCTACTCACCCACTTGATCTGGATAGTTCTTCCCGAGTATCCAAAAAATCTTTTGTTTAGTCTCATAATCTTGACAAACCGCATGCTCAAGTATTACCTCGCTCATCTTTCTTCAGGTTAACGAATTCTCTTTTTCTATCCTCATACCTAGATCGATACCAACTGTCTTACATTCGTCGATAACTAATAAAGGAGACATCTCATCAATGAGTGCTGCAAAACTGCCAGTTGGTGATGATTCTTTAATACTATCAAAGTTGCCTTAAAATGGCAAAGACATGGTAAATCAATTTACTTGTATGGTATTGATACTTGTCTATAATATAATACAGAATTCAATTAAGATTTACATACAGTTTCACCAAATAATTTAGGGCTTGAAAAATAGAAAAGTCAGAATTCAGACAAAAATACAAGAATTTTACTCTTAAACGAACAGGTCAATATTTACTAGCTAGAATAATGTATTACATAGTCGCTTTAATATTTCGGTTTGTTTTTCTTCTTTCAAAACCATTTCAAAGAATCGAACCGCTGGATCCCCTCTGCTCAAGATGAGTGACAGTAAAACATGCATTCTCTTTTTCCGCTTCTTTGATAAACAGTTTAACACGGAATCGATTTCAGACTTCTTGAATAGTTTGGAAGCTTTCTTGTGATGTACAAAGGGCCAAATACTTAATTCCTCAGCCAAGAAGTCTATGTTTCTTTGCAGTGCTGTTTTATATTGCCTGAAATATACTTCATGAAATGTCCCTCTGCACTATGCTTTAAATCTCACTGATCCAAATTAAACATGATAATGTCAAATTGATGCAAATAGCTACTTTAAAGAAACATAATATTCTACTTAATATAATACAATAGTTCCTTTGATAACAATTGTTGTTACTAGCAATGTCATTATCAAAGGAGCATGTATAAAATATACAACAAAATGTACAACACCATAAGATCACTATGGCGATGTATAATTAAAAACAAACTGATGTTACTCATGAAACAGTCATTGACTCATGAGACTCATAACCGACTGATTGACAAAATATGAGCTACATTCGAAGAAGAGAGATATTGCTCGTACATAAAATAACAAAATACAAACACGTAGAGGAAATCATTTCTGAGCGCCCTGTATAACTGTTTGTATTATATGAATAAGGATGATTCATATGTTTGGGCCGACAAATGACATTTCCAACATAGTGGTCAAATCACGTTCTCATAGAAACGTAACGTCAAAGTTAACGCCAATTTTTTTTTTAGTTATACGATGCGTGCTTTTCCAACAAGAACTATAAAGTTTTTAAACCGTGGGCATATCAATTGTATGTAAACAAAAAATACAACAATTCGTCACTGCACTTAAAGGTACTCCACTGAGGTATGGTCGAATGTCACAAAAAAAAGTAAAATTTCACGAACCGATAATTTTTTGTTACCTGCGTGTTAGGGACATTTATACAGAATCAGTGATACATTGATATGTCTTCTTTGGCTTGGCAATTCGTTTGAAACATATGTTATCTCCAATTTAGTGGGAAAAGCGTTTAAATGCCTTCCAGTTTGCAAATCTCAATGTAAACAACGGTCACGTGACTAGTTTCGGGAGGACTAAAAAGCGAAACGGAGATATTTTTGTGTATCGGCAGCAGCGAAAGTGCGAAAGTGAGACATACCAACAATGCATAAATTTAAGAGCAAATTATGGGTTTGTTTGTTAAATTTCTTGTTGTGAACATATGTTCTAGTTAATAATATTAATCAAAAGCAATTTCAATATATTTAAAGCATTATATTCTTGTAATCATGTTTTTTTACTCCGTTACAATGATGAATTTTGCTAAACGTACGGAGTTTGAAACTAACATACACAAACTTAACAAATATTCTATATTAAATTGAGTGCTTTCGTGTTATTAATAAATATAATGTATTAACTTTGTTATGGTTAAAATATGAAGATATATAGGCTAAGAAAATTTCTTTTATCAAGACCTTGTGATGGGTCCTATTTCAAAGGTCACTTTGGTTTATCTGACACCCGTTCAGAAAAAAAAACACCGTAATACCTTTTATACAAGTCAACGAACAAGAAAGCATCAACAATCACACCACACACACAATTTCATTCCAGAGAAAACGATTTCGTTTCCTCTTACCTCGGATCAAAGCACTGAAAGCA